CTTTCCCGGGAGATAATCTGAGCCTCGCTCTTGGGGCCGGGGCAGACCTACCAGGCAGAGGACTGCAGCAGGACTACAGCGGCGGGCAGGGGGCAGCCTGGGTGAAGCACAGGGTGTGTGACTCTCAGTGTGTGCGGCCGCACGTCCCAGGGGAAGAGGAGAGAGGGCGTCGCGTCTTCCAGGCCAGGGGCAGGTCCTCTCTCCCACCGCCTGCACTTAACCTTGGGTGCAGTTCTTTCTTTGAACACCTGGCCCGGCTGCTCTCCTTCCTCCTCCATACCTCTCAGGCTCTGTCCCCAGAAGTGAGAGAGTGACGCCCCTCTTTCGACAGAACCCAGTGGAGTCGGATTTTTTCCGTTGCCCTCTTCGTGGAGCACGTGCTCCTGGGGACCCAGAGTCAGATCCCTGAGCTGCGGGAGCTGGTGACTAACTATGCCGCCTCCCTCAACAAGGTGAGCACTGATTTGCCTCTTTCCAAAATGAGGAGTGTGGAGCCTAACCTGACCTCTGTCTGCAGGCTAGCAGGCTCCCTCTCAGCTCGCTGACAAGTTTATCTGGAAGTGCAAAGCAAAGTGATTTCATCACGGAGGCCGTGAAATATTAAGTGTTTAATTACACGCTCTCTCTGGGTGCTAATCAGAGGGTGTCACTTAGGGTTAGGTCGCAGGACTAGGGTCTCCTCTAGTAACTGTGGGCACAAAGGGATTCATGCTGGGAAGAAGAGGCTTGCAAAGCCACTTCTGGGGGCAGTGGGGAGGAGGAGCGGGCCCCACCCAGCCTCCGAGAGTGACTCCCTGGAACTGTCACCACCGCCGTGGTTAGGAGACAGGGAGGCCAGAGAATGTCACCAGGGTCTTGGACTTCAAGAGCACAGTGCTGTTGACGGAACCAAGGGAGCAGGAAGCCACCATGCCTCTGCCCCTTGACACCCTTATAAAGCTCGTGAGGGGACAGGACAGTGGCCTGGAAGAAAAAGCCACCATCTGTGTAACCATGCTTCCCACCACTGACCTCTCTCAGCAAAAGCTGGTCTCTCTTTGTTTGCAACCCATGAACTTCCCACGAGAGCCCCTGCTAGTTACTCAGTTCATTTCTTCTTTAGCCCAGTCAAGGATAAAACAGGAAGAGAAAATTACAGACTGATATTTCTCATTACCAAAAATGAAAAAAGTCATAAAGTATGAATAAATCAAATGTATCAGGGTATTAAACACACACAGACACACACACCATCATCAGGTACACGAGAGATTAAAGGATAAACTCTGAGTGATTTCAAAAGGTACAGAAAAAGCATTCAATAAAATGCAACCCTCATTCATAATCTGAAAAATAAAACACTATTGGCCAACTAGCAGTAGAAGGGACCATTCCATAAGCTGATACTGCCCAAGGGTATACATAATCTAAAAACACCTATAGCAAACATCATGCGGAACCACAAAATTCCAGAAACCTACCCATTAAACTTGCTATCCTGTACGCTGAAGATGTGCATTTCCTAAAAACAGTGCTTCCACTTTTAAATCTATACCCTAGTGAAACTGTACTTGAGGAGACACACACCAGAATGTTGGGTACAGAATGGTTTGTAACTGCAAAAACTTGAAAAAGTTTTAAATCCCACTAACTGGTATATCCACTGGTGGGTGCCATGTAGGAGTAGAGGTGAGTTATAGGAAACCACATGCCTCAGTGAAAAAGGCAAGCTGCAGAAGCCTGTTACAGAGCAACATCATTAATATAAAGTTTAAAAACACGCAAAGAGTAACACACTGTTTATGCAAGCATATGTATATCATGAAAGTAGAAATTTAGGAATATAGATCTCTGGGGAGGGGAGACACAGCAACCGGATTGACTCGATGGCAACGGGTTTGGTTTGTTTCGGGGGAGGGGAGGGAGGGAAATGCCATCAGAAAGGGGGATACATGGAGTTCTGACCGTATCTGTAATGTTTTGGTTCTTTAAAAAATGATCTAAAGCAAACATTCTAATATCTCGAAATGTGGGGCAGGGAGGGACCTTAAAAGAACAAGAATGAGAAGGGAAAAAATCAGAAGTTGAGAATTTAGTCCTTCTCCCAAAAAAACAGCATAGTCACAAAGCAAAAGGCATTCAGAGTTAAAGAAACTGGTCAAAGCAAGCAAGCAAACACAAGAAAGGCCTTACCCTGCGACCTAAAGCCCAGTCCTAGCCGTCCCGTCTCAGCCAGCTGGCAGAATGGATGTTGTGTTTGTTTTCTTAGGGAAACTGGCCTCACCTGGCCAACCTCTGCCCTTCTTCACTGCTAATTAGATTCCTCCTTGCTGCCTTTCCCATTCAGTGTCTGCAAGATAACTCTGACGTCAAGACCCGCAGGCCTTTTGTGGCCGTGATGACTATTCTCCGTGAATGTAAGGACCAGGCCAGCAGGACCTTCACCAGGTAAGGTCTCTGGCTCGGAATCCATAAAGGAGAATTCTGATCTGTCTGTATTTTTAGCTTCTCATGGCCAACTTCTCTGCCTTAGGATGTATCCCCACCCTTCTTGGCTTCTAGGTTTGGAGTTCGGCCGTGCCCCATTTGCCAGGGAGATGCCCAGGATCCTGTCTGCCTGCCCTGTGACCACGTATATTGCCACGCTTGCATCAAAACCTGCCTCATCCCAGGGCAGATGAGATGCCCCTTTTGTATGACTGACTTGCCAGACAACTTCTCTCTGACTGTTTCCCAAGAGCACAGGTAAAAACCTTTTCTCCTAAAAAGCTTCCTCCTTTTTTTCTTTTTAAAATTACAGTATCCAGAAATATAAACTCTATTAACCTTCTCCAAGTAGAAAACCTGACTTCTGAGAGCTATCCTAAGAGGCTATCACTTACATATATCTCTCTAAACATCTAGCATCTCAAAATTATTCTCTGACTGAGACATGTGCCTGGTACAGATTTGAGAGACAGCAAAATCAGAAGAAATTAAGCAGAAAGTTATAAAGTAACTAAAGCCATCACGAAAGACCCAATAAATTTAGATGCAACTGGTTTATGCCTATACACTCAACCTCTTGATGCATGAATGCCAGTCCCGTTCTGTGGCCTGAGGGCAGAACCAGCTCCTGTCTGGCTAAATGCTTTTGGAAGCAGGTGGTTACATTAGCTGGGGCTCCGTGGGCTTACCAGTCCCTGCCCCTGCTCTGTAAATGCTTGGTTTTCCTTCCCTTCTCCTCCCCTCTGATGCCTCCTGGAAGTGGAGCACAAGGCAAGCCTAGTGGATGGGTTCTCTGACATACTTTTGGAATATTAAGGGTATTGCTGCCTGGTGCAAGTGATCAAAGTGTTCCTGGAAGGAGATGACCCTAAATCGTGTCTGCGGCAGTTTTGAAGACCAGCTCTAACCAATGTAAAGAGCTACTTGCATCTTTTCATGTACAAACAAAATGCCACCCAAATCCCAAATTTTCTGTATGGAGGGACTTTGGAGAAAATTCTACAAGTCTTTTGACTGTGTTTTTCCACCAATCCTAAGGGATGCCACAGAGAAACACGCCCAATTCCGGCAGATGTGCAACAGTTTCTTTGTAGACCTGGTTTCCACCATGTGCTTCAAAGATAGCACTCCACCTCAGAGGGATGTCATCGAGGTTCTGCTGTCTTTACTCTTTGTACAAAAGGAGCTCTTGAGAGAGGCCCCCCAAAGTAAGTTGCTTTCTTCTTATAGACCTAAAACTTGTTACAGACCTAAAAACTTGGTTCTTCTTCACCTCATCTTTGCATGTCTGATGGACACTGAGCTACCTTCTTTTTTCTGGTTTAAGGACACCGTGAACACACAAAATCTCTCTCTCCATTTGATGATGTGGTGGATAAGACTCCTGTCATCCGCTCAGTGGTACTGAAACTGCTGTTGAAGTACAGGTAAGAGCAACTCGCTTTAAGAATTGCTTCTAGAAAGCTGTGGACTCTTCCCCTGCTCCCCCCATCACGGCTTTCTCTTTGCTGCCAAGTTTTCTTTTCACGACTAGTAGCTAGTTCATAATTTTGAGAAGCCTTTTCGGCGAGACCACCTGTGCATTCATCTATATTGGTTGTGTGTTTTCGTTTTCACAGACAGGCAAATGTGTTTGGCAAAGCCACAGCACATACTTAGCAAAGAAGAAAACAGACAACTGGGAAAGGACCATGATGTTCTGAAATGTGCAGGAGCCCATGAGTCAGGAATCTGGGATTCTGATCTTAGTTCTACAATGACCTAGTTTTGTGACGTTAGAATAGTAACTTAGAATCTCCCTCACCCTCAATTTTCTCAATGCTCTTTAAGTTCTGTTTCAACTCTTGAATTTCTCTGATTCTGAGTGGAGAGAGAAGCCTCTATGAGCAGGTGCTAAAGCTCAATGGTCTTGTCAAATTATTACATTTTAGAAAATTCTTAGAAAGCTTATCTGTATTTATAAGGCTTCTTTCAGAATATCCTCGGTATACTCAGCCTTAATTCTGACCTGATGCCATATACTTTGAAGTGCTGGCAAAATCAAAATACTGTAATAGAAGTTCTTACAGAAACAACTATTTCCAACTTTCATGTCTTAAAGCAGACTCAGAAGAGATTAGATTTGTATGTGGATCTGCTGCATCTTTGTCTATGGACATTTCATTTTGCTTTTTTTTCTATCAGTTATGAAATAATCTGTTCAAAGAAGCCTGTAACTCAAGGAAGACAACTAAAGGTGTTTGTTGCTAATAATAAAATTTAAGCTTTTAAGTGAAAATTAAAATTTTGTAAAACTTGTATCTATCACCTTGAGCTTGTCAGCTTTCCAGTACCTAAAAGACTTTTTGATGAGATCAGTGGTGATATTAACGGATGTGAGTTTTAACATATATTGTAGAATAAGAACATGTCAACATTTGGAAGATCTGCGTAACTTTGTCAATCGGTAGTTTCCAAATGACCAGTGTCTGATGTCACAAGATCATATATGGGTCCAAAAAAAAATGCATTGATTTTTCACAGTGCAACAGACGATGAAAAGTACATTAATATAGTTTTAGATTTCACATTGAAAGTAATCTTTACAAATTACCATTTATTGAGTTTTGGTGTAGTATCAATGAAGAAGAGCCACAATTATCTAAAAAGACTATTTAACGTTGTGGGAAGTTAATTGTCCCTTTCCTAACTACATAACCGTGTATGGCCAGATTTTCTTCACATAGTTAAATATATCAGCACTGACTGGAAGCAGAAGCAGAGATGAAAGTCCCACGAACTTTCATTAAGCCAGGTCTTAAGGGTATTTACAGGAATGTAAAACAAAGCCACTCTTTTCACTAATTTTTGTTATGGAAAATATTTTTTATTAAAAATAATGTTATGTATATTAACATGCAATGGGATTACTATTGTTATTACTAACGAGTTGATAAATATTTTTGAAATTTCTGTTTTAATTTCTAACACTATAAATATCAATAGATACAGCCGACATAAACAAAAGCTCGTCGGGGTTCTCAACACTTTTTAAGACTGTAGAGGGGTCTTGAGATGAAAAAGTTTGAGAACAGCTGATCTAAAATATGGAATTTTATATTCCTCCAATACTGTGCTAAACTGGTTTCCATAAAATTAGGTACAGAGACATACAGATTTACAGGTGTTTGTTTGCTTTTATAATGAGTCTCTAGGTCTGAGATAACCAGGTGTAACATTTCTCCTTCCACAGCTTCCATGAAGTAAAAGATTATATTCAGGATTACTTGTCCATGTTAGAAAAGAAAGCATTCCTCAGTGAAGATAAAACTGAAGTGTACACACTCTTCATCAACTGCCTGGAGGTAAGCTATCACTTCCCTGCATTGCTTTTGCGAACTATCTGAACCGCATGGTTTATGCAATGGGAAGTGTTTACGAAGATGTGCACAATGTCATTTAATCAGTAAAATTAACAGACACTTTGTTCCATGTGGGAAAAGAAAAGTTTCAAAGACACTGCTTTTGCCCTCAGCAGTTGTGTAGACTGCCCTGTATGTGCACACGCACACAAAACACAGCCTAGAAGAGCACACCACCACAGGGGACACGGGGGTCTCTGGATGGTGAGACTAGAAATACTTTTTATTTTTCTTCTCTTCGTATTTTGGTTATTTCCAAAATTTCTACAATGCATATGAAAACAATGAAATTATACAAAATATTTTCCTTGTAGTCCTTCTTTCGCCCTCTTTGTTGCCCCTGAAAAAGAAGGAATGTTAGTTTTCCATGATTGGAAAACATCACACCCAGACCTGCAACAATGCAGATCTTATCCTTCCATTACTCTCCACAGTCACGCTGTGGCAATCTTAGAAGGCTGGGGACTTGGCTATTAAAAAGAATAACATCCTCTTCTTTCTCACTCTTCGTTCCTTAGGATTCAATACGTGAGAAAATTAGTGCTTGCTCCGAAAATGAGGAATTGAACTACCTACGAGAGGAAGGGCATTTCCTGAGGACTTACTCACCACAGAGACGAGGCCCAGAGCAGGCTAAGGAGGCTTCTATTGAATACCTTCAGGAGATGGCTCGGGTCCGCCTCTGTCTCGACAGGGCTTCCGACTTCCTCTTCGAGGCTCACACCAACTCAGGCAAGTCTTCTTCGCTACCTTGCTCCACGTCTGGCCAAGCAACGCCGCTATTCAGAAATTCAGAAGTATGGGAAACTGGTTCTAAAATTGTATTGGTCCTTCCTAAGTCCTCTTTCTTCTGGATTGTTTTTTGCTGTGAACCCTAAGGAGTAGACCCCACACTCTTTACCAGCTTTGTGTCCAGGACCATTGACTGGTACGTATTCTTAGCCACCTGCACTCACCCACCTTCTCATTGAACTCTCCAGAGATGGCTGAGGAAAAGCAGGGCTACCTGCAGCAAGTTGAGCACTTCTGCACCCAAACCAAGAACGACTGGTTCCGCGTGTACTTGGTGAGGAAGCTGACGAGCCAGCACACGATGGAGTTTGTGCAGAGCCTCGCCAAACAGGGCCACCCGGCCCAGTGGGTGTTCCCCATGGAAGTCATTGCACAGCAGGTACTGCCACACACCCACTGCCCAGACGCTGGCCCTGCAGCTCCTCCCCTGCTTCCCGCCCTTACTGTCTCCCATGGCCACTAAGGAAACAGGAGGGCTCTGGTCCTCTGTGCTTCAGCTCATTTGAGCCAGCTGGTGAGAATGTTTAGCCTGCCTGCTGCAGGGAAGAGGTGTGTGTGCGTGCCTGTGAGTGTGCCAGGGCTTCAGGTTTCCTCATCTAACTGTAAAGCTTACTGACGTCTCACTTCTGATTGAGTGTGACACAGGGAAAGTAAGAGAACGTTTCTGCGGCCTTTGCTTTCATCAGATTAAAAGCGATTCACTAGCAGGATCTGTTCTTTCTGCCTTCAGCAGGCAGAGACAGGAAGGAATAGGAGCTAAGGATGAAAGAGCTGCAGTAAGCTTGGCTCAGGGCCTCTCCGCAGTCCTTCTCCAGAGCTCCGAAATTAACAAATGCTCACTGTCCTGGGGCTACAAAAGCAGCAGTAGAAACCCTGGCATTTTACTGACTCCGGATATTCCGTCCTGGCCTTCTGCACTATGCTTTCAGTAGAGGAAGAAAGCAGCTACAAGAGCAGCAGTCCCTTCCCTGAGGTTTTTACCCCCTTATCCCTCTGCCTCTTACTGTGGAGGGAGCTCTTCCCAAAGATAGTACTTGACTGTTAGGCCTGTGCTGGACAGGGGCTCCCAGCTCAGCCTCACTTTACACCTCACCATTACCCGGCTTCTTTACCTATAGAGACCATGGTTTGCAAAACATTCTCCCCACCCTCCCCACCCTGATTAACCACGTTCCTGGGGTTGCAGAAGGACCATCCAGGTCAGCTGGACCGATTCCTGGTATACGGCCAAGCATACAAGGCTCTTCGTGATGCAGTGGGCAAAGCGGTCCTCGAGTGCAAGTCCAAGGGCATCACGGCCACCCTGGAGGTAGGGCGGGCTCCAGGCTTCTCTCTGGCACCAAACGGCCCCCACTCAGGGCCCACATGTCTCCTTGTTTCTGTCCAACAGTGCAGTGGTGATGGACTACTGAGGAGCCCCGCAGACTAGCACGCTGTGTGGGAAGTCATGTGCCCGTGGCCTCCATGATCGCACTGGACGGTGCTCATGAACTAGTTGCTGAAACAGGGCAGCAACAACAGTTGAGCTGGGCTGACAGATTTGCCAAGGCCAGCAGCAGCTCCTTTCTGATTTGTACAGGCCCAGTACTTCCTGCGAGACCCTGATGAAAAATCACTTCCTCCGGTCCTACATAAATTCATAATCCGCGCATACATGCTTATTGTGTGTTAGATGCAAGGCTTTTAGAATCTAATCTTTAAAGCATTCAAGTCTTGCTTCCTTCTGAGGCCCTGTTGTTCCTGGCAAGGTGCTGGGAAAAGAGGAAACAGACAATCTTATCCCTGCCCAGGAAAAATTTATACGACTAGGGAATTAGTCAGAGGGCACTGGGTGATCTCTGCTACTTGTGTCGTAAGTCACGTGATAAATAAGCTGTGAGTTTAATGTGAGACTATTTTATGAACCTTGTAGTCCATAAACTGTTTGTCAGATGGTCCTGAAGCACAGGGTCCCAGGAGCCCAGGGCCTTGGGAAAGGCTTCTTCACCTTCTCCGTGGTTTGAGGGTTGATCCACATTCCATATTCATATACAGATCACACGGGACTCTGACCCTTAGGTAGACCTGTATGACTTTGTAAATTCTCACTTAACTGTCTTTGCTTTCTCAGGCCTGCAGGGACCCTAAAACTCAACAGGCAGTCCACTTACTGTTGGCACTCTTCCGAGAGGTCACTGTTTTGTACAGATCCCATAATGTAAGCCTCCACCCTAAGCCAGAGGTGAGCATCAACATTCAGGGCTTGTGTGGTCACAGTCTCATTATCTAGAGGGACATTTTGGATAAAAGTAAAAGCCACAAATACACATTTTCCTATGATTTTTTATCTAGGATGCGGGGTTTCCAATTATGCGAGGTGAAGAAACTGTTTTCTAAGCTTTTAGAATTACAATTAAAACTGAAGTCAAGAATATAAGATGATGTTGACCAAAATAGAATATCACAATTAGCATTTAGGTATGTGGTAGCTGTGATTGTATATGAAAATTCTCTTCTCTGAAAAATTTCCCCTCAAATAGGGGATCATTTAACTATATTTACCTTGCAATTTGGTGTATATCAAAATGTATGGCTAGCTATGAGCAAAACTTTGAATTCTCATAATATTCTTCTTTGATATAGTTTAATATAAAAAACATTTTTCCTGTCAGCAACGTGAGGCTGTGAACAGATTCATTGAAGAAACCAAGACCCTTTCTCCTGAAATCAGACTTTTTGCGACATCCCTGGTGGACAACACTCTGCCATTGCTGAGGACAGGTCCCAGTGACGGGGGCCTTGAAGCAACGGTGACAGAGATGGCTGTTCATGCTGCAGCTGTCCTTCTCTGTGGGCAGAGCAAAGTCTTGGAACCCCTGAGGAACTTGGCCTTCTCCCCAGCCAACATGGCGGTAAGACTGGGGTGTGGGTTATGTTGGCTTTATGGTAAAAACTGCGATAGTTTGTCACTTGAGAGACTGCGCCTGTAGATTTGGAGACAACTGGACCTCTTTTATCTTCTAGATTCTCTTCTGCCTCTGTCGTCTCATTTGACCTATTAGTCCACAGTGACAGGCTGCTACATTTTCTCAGTAGATAGCTTTGGAGGGTAGGACGAAAGAAAACCAGAAGTTCATTTCCTTATTCTAGGCCTCTTGCTGAACATCAGCCAATCAACCAGCTCACTCAGCTAAATCTAGCACTGCTGTTTTGCTTTGTTTTCCCAGAATGCTTTCCTTCCAACCATGCCTGAAGACTTGCTGGTGCAAGCTAGGAGCTGGAGGGGTCTGGAAGGAGTGCGCTGGTACAGTAAGTGTTGGTGTCTGAGACGGAATTCCACTCCCCTCTCAGCTGAGGGCAGTGTCATGCCCCGTAAAGCACTGATTTAGACCTCAGATCCACACGGTTTATGCTTGAAGGTCCAAAAGCACCTGACTTCTTCTGCCGTTAGCACCTGTACAGAACACGAATGGCTTGAAGGGACTGGCACTCTGCTGACGGCAGACGATGTAAAGCACTTCTTTTCTTAATCATGAGGAAAGAAGACCTCAGGACACACTTCTGGTCCCTGTGGTATACCATTTGGGAGGGGCTGGGAACTCCACAGGATGCTCATTCAAGGGCCAGAGCACAAGACGACCAAGTTGTGACCCCAAAGATAGCTCTTCTGCAGTATACAGCTGGGAGACACAATAAAATCACCCATGACATCATCTGAATTTTGCTCTTACCTTGAGTAAATAATCTTTTTTAACTAGCTTTAAAAGTTGTTAAAAAAAATACTCTTTTCTTTAACTTTTTTTTCTATTGGACTTTAGGTGAAGGTTTACGGAACAAATAATTTCTCATTAAACAGTCAGTACACATATTGTTTTATGACATTGGTTAACAACCCCACAACATGTCAACACTCTCCCTTCTCGACCTTGGAGGACCTTTTTTTTTTTTTGGTGAAAATACAGCCAAAGATACACCATTTCAGAAATTTCTACATGTACAATTCAGTAACATCAATTACATTCTTCCAGTTGTGCTGTTATTCTCACTAACCTTTTCCAAATTATTCCATCACCATTATCTTCAACTCACTGGCCCCTAGGTTTCCCATCAAACCTTTGAGTTGCTGTTGTCAATTTGATCTCACATAGATAATTCTCGTAGAAAACATACTGTTGATAAAAATTCAAAGACAATAGAAAAGAATAAAATATTGCCTTTCCAGAAGTAACCCCTGGTATGCGCCTCTAATCTAATTTCTCTTTGTTTGGTAAAATTAAACTCGGAGCCATTTTTCACTAACAATATACATTTACTGAGCTCCCACTATGTGTCAAACAGCTAATAACCAAGCTAAAAAAAGTAGTTTAAGATTTCTGGTAACATGCTCAGGACGTCCCCCATACATTAAGCTTCAGTTCGGGCCAGAGACGAAAGAGTTAGCTTTCCCTTTTAAACCTGGTCATTAGTGAAACCTCCCCAGCTAACCTGTACCCTGTGGTTCTTCTAACAGCATGTCCCAATGGCCATCCGTGCTCTGTAGGAGAGGTGAGTCTGGGTGTTTGGGGAAGGGTTCAGGGGCTGCCAAACGTGGGCTCTGCTGGGTCTGGGGAGAGGGAGCGTGGAGAAGCGGATCATGAGGGCCTAGACCTGCCGAGAGAACACAGACTCGTTCTGAGGGCTGTCCAGACATTCCAACCAAACATCTAAGGGGTGCTAAGGTGTCAGCAGAAGGAAAGGTTTGGGGGTGCCATTAGATCAGCCCAGGGTTTCTCAATCAGCATGATGAGCATTTGGACTAGATAATTCTTTATTGTGATAATCTTCATTCTGTCCTGCGCATTGTGGAATGTTTAGCACTAGATGCTGGTAGCACCCCTGTCCTCCGTCAAGTGTGACAACCAAAAACGTCTCCAGACATTGCCAGAGGTTCCCTAGGGACAGAACTGCCGCTGGCTGAGAACCACCGCTAGCCATGCTTTCTTGCCACTGCATTGTGGGATTGGTGACACGGGTCCACTCAGAAAAGCAAAGTGCCGACGAGACCACAGGTGTCATCACTCACCCAGAGAGCAGATAGGGGCCAGATACTAAAGGACAGAATGAGAGACTCCCACACTGTTAGCCCCATGGGGAAAGAAGAGTTGATTATTCGCTTCTGAATCTCTAAGCATCTCACCCAGGGCCCTTCATTCAGTGTATCTGTACTTGCTCAGCAACACGCTACGGCAGCGAGTGGAAGCCAAGTTACAGGATAAAGTAAATACAAAACTGGAGAAAAAAGGGATATGAAGACACCTCATCTTTCTGAGTTTCATTCACTTTGTTTCTGAAATGAGAAGACTGAAAAAGGATCCTCCGACCAGCTCTGAAATCCAGTGGTCTACGAGGCTATGATTGGTTTGGTCTGTAATAGGCTGTGAGTCAGGTATAGAGTTTGGAAAAATGAGCCTTTGGAAGCAATAAATCATATAGTTGGATATATTTTTTTTTCTTTTTAATAAAATTGTCCCAGTGGAGTTAAGGAAATCAGTTTGGAAGCTATTGTAGTATTACTGGTATTAGAGAATGAAGCACTAGAGACTAGTGTGACAGGTAGAGCAATGGGGAAAGGTGTTTGCATAGAGTATCAGCCCTGTCCCCATGGCCCCTCCAGTCTTATCTGAAATACATATAAGCTGGAATAGGAAAACCTGGTGGCACTCACTCCCTCCGATGGGAAGTACGTGTTCATCGGCAGGACGGATTTGTGCATAAAATGATGCTCGCTCCAAAACTGAGCTTGAATCACATTTGCTTTTATCCCAGTGCGGCATGCCAATGGAACAGAGCTGCTGTCTTGACTGTGGTGCTCCAGTTGGAGGTGTTGATCACAAACCTCGCGATGGCTTTCGTCGTATTGAGTATGTACGATTGAATTTCCTTTCTAAGTAGTCAAACCACGGTCTCCTGGGCTGTTTCTATTTCAGCTGATAAACTGATAGACAGCACAGTACACGAGGACTATGCTGCATTTGATACCAACACCAAAGTCACTGTGGTCACAGAGCAATGCAGTGTTTGGTCTGTCAGTGGTAATTGGGCTCCTAAACTCACAGCAGATTCCACTTTAATACTTCCGTGCCTTCCATTTGGGCCTTGGGCATGCCCCCTATAGACATACGCTTGACATAAACAGGTGACCTAATTCAGGGGGACATTTAAGTCTGGAAGACCAAAAGCTGGGCATTTGTCTAAGCTAAACCTTTTGCATTTGCAAACTCTCTTAGCTTTCTCCTGTTTCCAGGAAAGTGAAGGAGACATAGCCAATCTTATTAAATGCCAGATTTCAGAATCCAGATAAAAATATGATCTCATGATCACACACTGGCTTATGAGAGGATGCTCCTGAAGTTCAGAGGTGGGACCTGTCTATGGGCTTCAAGCACTCTGGCTTATTCTGGTGCAGTCACAGTTTAAAATATTCTAACCCATTCTCTCCATAAACTACCACAATGTCCTAACATTCCAATATTTTTGCAATTGAACATACCTATCATACTCGGTCTCCCACCTGGGTGTGACACAGATGACCAGGGAAGTCATTTGATTTAGAAAAAAAGGAACAATGTACGCATGTCCCCATGCTGATGTCTGCTGTCCCCAGCTCGAGCTTCCCTTAGCCCGCCTGCTCTCCTCCCCACAATGATCCAGTGGAAGCGGCAGATCCAGACCCCCATCCTGACACTGCCCAGGGATCAGCACAAACAGCCACGTGACTGAGCCACTATACACTCACAGTGCCGAGGGCTTTTGGTCAGTCAAAAAGGCGAGTGCGTCTATAAAGAAAAAGACTCTGAGGTAAAGTGGTCTGGACTTAGTAGAGTAAGAAGTAGTTTAACATGGTTTTCTTCAAAAACTGTGAACCTAGTGTCCAAGTCCTAAGAATCTGAAGCGCCCCTAGCTCTGGGAAGAAATGATCATCGTCAGTCGTCATCCTGTCTTCCCTTGTCCTTCCCAGAAATGACACAGACAGAACTCAGACTGGCCACGTGCTGGGAAACCCTGTAGCCAGAGATGTGATGGTGGTATCTGACCGAGCGCTGCCCCCCGTGGTCTTCATTCTCATCCGGTTACTCACTCATTTGGCTATGCTTTTGGGAGCTGCCACAAGTCCCCAGGTATAGTGTGGCCCTGCCAACGACGTATGTATTCACCACAGTAACGACCAGCTCTAGCTTTCTCAGAGTGAGCCCTTTTGTCCAAAATGGCCTTGCTGCCTCCCGTGAATTTTGACTAAATCATTGTTACCTAATCCACAAAGTAATATAAAATTTACATATCCTCATTTTTCACGCTGAGGTATACGAAGATAAGGGGGAACTACTCATCAGGTTATATACGGTCCATTTTAAACGAACAACTCTATGTCTTAGGCCCACACCTGGGAGTAGAGTGGCTAATATAATCATGATTTTACCCGGTCTGCCTGGTAGCTCTAGAGAAGAGAGACACACTGCATTACCCGAGTTAATACTAACCATCAGAGTAAAGAGTACGGGGTTTGAGGGTTCTCACTTCACTCTGATGCTATAAAAGCCAGTCATTTTCAGATGGTGTTTGTTTCTTCCACTCTCGGGCCTGCCTTTTGCCTTTGGTACTGAATCACTTAGATCACTCTGTGAACGTCACTTTAGAGACCATCCTCTTGATTCAGTCCTGACGATGAACTTGCCGTCTCATCTACCAACAAGATCTTCTCTACCATGTGTCTCATTGCTCCCCCAGGCTCTGAGAAACATCATTAAGCCTCCAGTGGGGGATCCAGAAACATTTCTCCACCGGCACATCCAGAGAGACTTAGAGCAGTTAACAAAGACCCTGGGCAAGAGTGCCGACGAGACCGCCAACGTGGTGCACCTGATCCTGTGCAGCCTCCTCAGAGCACAGGATTCCCACTCTGACCAGAGTAAGGAAGTGGGGCAAAGGGGTATGTGGGTGGGGATCTTTTTGCACAACTGCAAAGAAACCAGGTTTGCTCTGAGAATCCCGACTAAAATAAAATGATGGTGTGTGGAAGGTGACACACCAGTGGGGAAGCAGGAAGAGCCCCCTTGCCAGAGAATGGAAGCAGCTCTCTGTTGTTTCCGTTTACTTACACGCCTGGCTGAGCCCTGCAGCACTCAGGGAGGTTTCCAAAGGGTGTTAAATATGGGGACACTTATCAGTTTCCAAAGTCAGCCCTGCAGGTAATTTACCTACTGTATTGGGAACATGGGTGGTTCAGAGCAGAATTCTCGCCTTCCATGCAGGAAAGCCGGGTTCAATTCCTGGCCAGTGCACCCCATGCCCAGCCACCACCCTTCTGTCAGTGGAAGCTTGTGTGTTGCTATGATGTTGAATAGGTTTCAGCTGAGCTTCCAGACTAAGACTAGGAAACCCCTATGGATCACAACGGTCCAATCCTGTTGTGCTCCCCGGGTGGCCATGAGTCGGGGCTGATTCACTGGAAGCTAAAAAACACTGGGAACATATGGCATCCAAAACAGGTGATGTGTGTCAAGGAATCAATCACCATCAAGGAAATAAATGACTGATAATCACTTGGGAACTTGTCTTCATAAGTCTGTCCTGTGTTTGGGGATAGCGTCTACGTTCCCTAAAAATATTGTAGACTGACCTAATATGTTTAGCCTTCATGATTTGTTGTAGGAAAAGAGCAGGCTACAAAATATTGTGATCACTAAGCTGATTTTTCTATATTAAAAATTAAAATCCACACAGAAAGAAAAGGTCTGTAAGACAACCCAGTAAAACGGTTATCTCTTAGTGATTGAATGAAGGATGATCTTCTTTTTGCTTATCTGCAGATCCTTCATTTCGAAGTGCCTTGTGATGACAATGTTATTTAAAATAATAATAATACTAATAGCAATAAAAAAGTCCTGCCACATGACAAGAAAATCCATTCCTACTTCAACTGCTTCTTTGCCAGAAACCAGCTTCATTCTATCTTTTCCATTTAGCAAAACCTGATTTTACCTTTAGCCTCTCATCTGGTGTGACTTCAAACTAGGTGAGCTCACCCAGGATCCTACGGACCAAGTGCCCGAGTCCTCGAAGGGTGCCGGCAGTGTGTGCAGCACTCTGCAACTGCACAAGTGTCACAAGGCCACACATCTGGCTGGCAGCTCAGGCGGCGGCAGCTGTGATGGGCGGATGGTAGCACTGGCCACCATTATGCCCTGGGCTTCAAATTCTAACTCTTGCCCTTTCTGTCATTTTGTTCAGGTTGGCGGTAGCAGCAGAAACCATTTTAAAAATACTTAGGTTAATTGAGAAGAACACCCACCCCTCCAAAAAGGAGCGTTATTTCAATGTCACACTTATTTAGTGTTCCCTTGAGTAACCGACACATGTTGCTTTTCTTCGTAGGGCTTCTCAATTTTGATGCAAGACTGTCAACCAAAGAGAGGAGAAACGACTGGGAAAAGGTCGTCGAAAAGATTATTTTATCTGAACTGGAGGTGAGTGATGATGGCTACTCTGCTTCAGAAAGGGGAGGCTGCTTTCCTGGGCACCCACTGAGCTCTCTTTGCCCACTGTGCCCTCCGGAAGTGCTGCCAAAGCCATGGATTTGGCTGTTCTCCGTCTAGAGTCACTCATCTTGCTCTACCCGTTCTTTTCCCTCCTGAGCGGTAGGTGACTCAGGTCGAGGAATCACCACAGGTGACGGTTCTCTCTCCATTACTTTTTACGGCAGAAGAGTGAGAGTAAGAGGTGGAGAACTAACTCTCCTGTGGATACTCACCACAAATGCATTGATAATTAGAGATTAATAACTCCTCAGATAAGAACACTACTGAGAGTAACTAAGCCCATCAGTAAATACAAGTCAGTAATAAAAAATGGGAATAAAATACAAGTCTCTGAGTGTCACTGTATTTGGGGAGACACAAACCTACCAACAAGGAACATTTGAATTACAATAAAAGTGAATACAAGTAAATACTAGATTAAGCGCTAGAACGACAGACTCCTCAATAAGCCGGTAAAGTCAGTAGGCATCCCAGTCTGTTTACGGTAGCATCTCACTTCCAGAATTGTATATCGTGTTCTTCATCTAGCATCTAGATAAAACTCTCCTGACCGTCAACACTCTAATCAGCCAAGATGAACGTATCAGCTCCGACCCTGTGGCCAAAATCATTTACGGTGACCCGGCAACCTTCCTGTGCCACCTGCCCCAGAAGAGTGTGGTTCACTGCTCTAAGATTTGGAGCTGCAGAAAAAGAATCACAGTGGAGCACCTCCAGCACATAGTGGAGCAGAAAAACGGCAGAGAAACAGTGCCCATCCTCCAGAAGTTCCTACAGAAGGTAAGTCTAGCTGACTGTGTGAGCCTGCGTTTTCGTGCAGATCTCCCCTGCAGACCGGAAGGCCCCAGGCTCTTGTTTAGTGTCGTTCCTAAACACAGAACATCTAACAGACCTCTTCAGTGCTTCGATTGAAATAGAGTATCTGTAGGAGATAACTCCGGAATAGAGTAGAGATCTTCATAGGCATCAAACTGTACAGATACTCTGAAGGATAAAGTCACAGCTGAAATATACACACAGTTGGAATCACTAACAGCCTAGGATAGAAGGCAGCTGACAACAGCCGCAACAATGAACTCAAACATACCAATGATCATGAAGATGGCACTGGACCAGGCAACGTTTCGTTCTGTTAAACGTAAGGTCAGAGCCAACGCGACAGCAACTAACAACAACAACATAAAGAACGTGAGGGCCGGGAGGGTACCTCCCTGATCCCTCAGCGGAAACAAGAGCTTAAGAATCTTCTCTGACTGTGTGTATTCATCTTGCACCCCCCAGTGCCTGGAACGGCTGGTCATCAACTAGTGCCTGTTGAACGAAACAAACGGGAGTCAAGAATGCCTAGCCCAAATCAAACAAACAAAACGTCTTCCCTGTTCTTAAGCTATCTAGGCTTAGACTGAAGACAGCATGAGTGAGTGTGTGTTGGCAGTGGCAGGGCTGGGGGTGGGGGACAGTAAAATGTACTGGCCCCATCTGTTAGAACTAGAAATACTGTTTCGAATGTTCATCCGTTTGATTTTTTAGTTTCTACAATATATCTTTAATTATTTCTCTCCGTGGACCAGTATTTGCCACCTAGAAAGAATTAGGATGATTCAGAAATTTCTGCTGACCAGTTAAAGAAATTGACCATTCACAGCAGGAAGGGCTTCATATTAATACTGTGATTTCTCTCCACTGTGTATAGTTTCATTTAATTGAAGAAGCTTAGATCTTAGGTCTTCAAAACCACATCCAGGAACAATACCAGCCACCACTGCATAATTTCTTGGTCTTTTTGCTTTTAGCAGCTTCTCTCCATACCCAGCTGAATCCGCATTTGGCAATCACATTGATGTGTATACTCCATGAGGGCAGGAACTCAGCTTTGCTCCACTGCTCTATCCCTGAGTGCAGAGCAGTGTCTCACACTTTGCCAGCAGTCAGCAGATATTTGCCGAAGGACAGTATGACCTTTGCCCCATTTCCATGCTCTGGGATGTGTCATCATGTCAAAACGCACACTGACCAGATTGACTGCCAATACAACTCCTGAGCCAGCCCCGAAGTATGTTTCCCCGCTAACATTTTCGAGGTACATAAAGAAATGTCACTGTGTGGTCTTCCCTTCCCCAGGAAGCAGAATTGAGACTGGTGAAGTTCTTGCCTGAGATTTTGGCCCTGCAAAGGAACCTAGTGAAGCGATTCCAGAATGCTTCAGAAGTTGAATTCCAATCCCTCAGGAGTTTTATTGATAGTCACAATTCAGGTATGACTCTCCATGTTGGCTGGCTTAAGATGGCCCTCCAACCAGGGTGGGTAGCCACGGGTGCTCTGCGCCCTAAGATTTAGCATGAGGCAAAAGAAGAAACAGCACCTCCCTCTCTCTCGCTCCTCAAACTCCGCTGTAGCGTTAAATCAGCACTGCAAACGTGTGGGTGGATGCCTGAAGACGCAAACCCGGGTCTATCCAAAGGGCGCGCCATTGCGCCGGTGCGGCCTAGACTGGCGCATCGCGGGTCTTAAAAAGTGTTGTTTTTGCTCAGATGGGTTGAAGCAGTGGTTTCGCAACAGAATCACTATCTTTCTATCAACGTGGAACAAGCTGAGGAGATCACTTGAGACCAACGGTAAGTGTCGTATTTCCCCTGTAACACGTAACATGACAGGAAGACGGTTCTGGAAGGACTTTCTCTTCAGCCGAACTCGGCCTGTCCCTGGTATCACAGGCCTATGCTACGTTCAGGTCAATGCCAGATCTATGCGCCTTTTGATGGGGATGACTGGGATAAGTGAAATAACCTATCAGGTAGAATGACCCCTTAGTCCTCCATATAAATACATATAAACTTATATCAATAAATATGGGGTCATAAAGAAGCTGAGAGCATTTGAAAACCTGTCAGCATATCAAAGAGAGATGGGAGGCAGACGGTAAGATTGATCCTGGTTCCCGGCTGTGTTTAGTAGAGGTGACTTCTGCATTCCTCATCTACTTGCTGTGATGGGGCTCCTTCGCCTTGATGTGAAAGAAGCAGTGTGGAGCTGGACGCTTCTCTGCTTAAGAATAACCCTGTTGTTTCAAGGTGAAATCAAGCTTCCAAAGGACTACTGCAGCACTGACTTAGATCTGGATGCTGACTTTGAGGTCATCCTGCCACGTCGCCGGGGACGGGGCCTCTGTTCCACCGCCTTAGTCAGCTACTTGATTACACTCCACAACGAAATGGTCTACATGGTGGAAAAATTCTCCCAGAAAAATAACAGGTGAGTGCACAAGTGAATAGGAAATCCAGCCCAGGAACTCATTTCTCTGGTCCCTAGGTCCACTAGGGCAGACATGAGCCAAACTTCAGCCCTTCTCTAAGGAACACCCCTGCAGCTGGCTCCCCAGTGTCCCCAGATTCGTGTATCCAGAACATCAACTAAGAACTGACTCCGGGTAACCTACAGCACTAAGGCAGGTGTGCACTGCCTGGGACCCTGACTGCTGTGTCTTTATGTCCCTCAGCTACTCCGTCGATACCTCTGAGGTCACCGACCTGCATGTCATCAGTTACGAAGTAGAGCAGGACTTGATGCCCCTGCTTCTCTCCAACTGCCAGTACAAAGTAGAGCAAGGTGGAGAAGCCCTGCAGGAGTTTGACCTGGAGAAGATCCAGCGGCAGATCACCAGCCGACTCCTCCAGGGCAAGCCCAGGCTTATGCTCAAGGTACGGCTGGCCCCTGCTGGTGTGTCCGCATAGTGTGGCTTGTGCAGCCAGCACCATGAGGTAGTTATCCAGGGTGATCTTCCAGGTCATCTTATTCACACCCACAGTTCCACGGCTACCACTCACATCTGTATCACTGGCCGGACGGCTCTCCTGAGCCTTCTTCTACATCAGCACCTGCACCTCAGTCCCCAGAGGTATACTGGGGTATATAAATCATACTGGACTCGTCGTCCACATTTTTCTACCATAGTGAATGGCACCACCAACTACCCAAGAAAACCCTCACAGCCATCTTTTCCACCTTTCCTTTCGCCTCCACACAACCTGCCATCAGGTACTGCAGGGTCTGAATCACCACAACCACTGCTTTAGTTCCAACCCTCTGCCCTCAGGTGTGTCCCTTGCACTGGCTCCTAACTGGACTCCCTGCCTCTGGTTCCTTCAGCCCTTATTTTCATCCATCCACTGCTGCAGGACAGCATCCACGCCCCGAGCCTGCTTCACAAAAGGCTGGTAGCCTTTCCCCAGCCTCTAGGCAGCCCACCTACAGCCACTGCCCTATCCCCTCAGCGGGTTGTCTGATTTCACCCAGGGCTCATGCTTCCCTCCGACATACCCTGCCTTTCTCAGCTGTTCTTTTACCCGGATTGTGCTTGTGCCTTCAGGCCCTGGACAAATATAACGTACGTGGGTGTCATCTCCCTGACTGCCCGCAATTGCACTGTGAATTGTGGGAGCCCGAGGCTGGCTTCATTCATTCTGATGGCCCTGTTGTACAGCGGAGTCGCTGCCTTGCTCTCGGTCTTGGTGCGGTTGTGTTTCAGTGGATGCTGAGTGAGCTGTCCCCTGAACCTCTTTATACCTGGAACTTTTGTGGTCCTCGGGGCCACAGTATTCCACCTGCCAGTACCTGCCTGGCCACTGTGGCAGGCTGGTTCCTTGTTGTGTTGTTCTTTCCATGGATTGTGGGGTAGACAGTCCATGGTACTACCCTGAATGGTATGGTGCTACAACTGAGTTCCATTTGCCATCTGTGAAAACCTCCACAATAGAATTAATTTCCAAAACAATGTTTCTTTCCCATTTTAGGGAATACCCACTCTGGTGTACAGACACGACTGGAACTACGAACGGCTCTTTATGGACATCAAGAACAAGATGTCACAGGTGGGCAGAATAAAGCCTCATCAGTTGCATGGTGCTTTTTGTCTGTCAGAGTGCTTTCATCCATATTAAAGCTGCTCCAACCTCACCCCAGGCACGCGCTGTGAGCCCCAAAGAGCTCCAGTGACTTGCCTAAGTGCCCCTAGCCCAGTGCTCTTTCCAACGGGCAAACAGGACATCAAATCTACAAACATTTGTTGTTAAGTATAAACAGATTAAGTCTGGTGGTGGTAGTTTTTAGTCACAACCATGCGTGCTGATGTAAAAAGGACCAGAGAACTTTTCCTGCACGCATGCTCTCCCACGCTCTAGACAGACGGACAGACAGACAGATAGATAATAGGCAGGTAGGCAGACAGATGGATAGGAACTCATGGGGTCATTGTGAGGATTGAATGGGTTCATATCTATTTCTGCAAAACATGTGCACTACGGCTGGACACTCAGTAAGCAAGAAGTGTTAACTGTTATTATTGTTGTTGAGGCCTTTGTCCCAACTGGTGGCTCTGAACAGTGAAGAAGGGAAGCTCTTTTACTAGGTAGCAATAAACCAGAAACCCATCCTGCTTTTGCTTCCCCAGCACGCCCTCCCCTACGCGACCCTCAGTGCCCTCAGTGGACAGCTGCAGTCCTTCAGTGATGCCTGTGAAGCTCTGTCGGTCATAGAAGTCACCTTGGGCTTTCTGAGCACAGCTGGTGGTGACCCAGACATGCCCTTGAATGTGTACATCCAAGACACCCTGCGAATGGATGACCAGACTAGTCCTGTTTTAAAGGTGGGTCTTTCGTCAAAGGGAGTCTGCACTGTCCCCCGCCGCAGTGTCTCCACTTCCTACTAGGAATACCATCATTTAGAGAACATCAGTCTAGACATCCTGAGAAGGCGGGGGGTCAAGAACAACCCCTCGCCCAGTCGGTTCACATTAGACAGAATGCACTATGGAAGGTAGACAGAGATGCGCTCAAAATGCTAACGATCTAGACAGCGCGCCCCAGACGAGACTGAGGACACGAGCCAGCTGCAAACTGCAGATGCTTAAGGACTCTGAGAGGCTACAGGAGCGGGAGGACTTTTCAGGGGAGTTGGAAAGCGGATGCAAGTGAACTAGCGGCCTGGAGTAGAGATGGCTTCACGAGGGAGATGGCAACAGTGCAGAGCAGAAAGCGGAAAAGATACCGTGTGGAAGAGCAGTCAGACCATCCCCACGGGGATGAGCCCTTCTCAGGAATTCTGCTCCTCTTTCAGGCCTTAAACAGATGTCAGTTAAAGCACATCATCGCCCTGTGGCGGTTCCTCTCTGCGCGTAAGTGTGAACAGCTGCTGCGACTGGGAAAAGTAAGTTGCCCTCTCTCCCTCCGCCTGGCCTGCATGGAGCGGCTCTGCTCCCCTGCTTCAATTCTTGCTCGTTCATATTTCATTTTAGGATCCGTTTAGGGAAATCAGTTCCGAGTACAAAGTGGATCTCAGCCCAGAAGATGCGAAACTCCTCAGCACTTTCCTGAATCAGACTGACCTAGATACCTTCTTGCTGGAGCTGCACGAAATGATGATCTTGAAGCTAAAGAGCCCCCACCAGGAGGTGAACTTCAACCCTGCGTGGAGGTAAGGCCTTCAAACCTACTGCGCAGGCGTACACAGAATGTTCTGCTGTCTCCCCTGTGATCTTCCACGGATACGAAAATGGTTCTCAACTTACCGCAAGACTTCGCTTCCTGCTGTTCCGCCAGGGCACCTTAGGGCTGGCGTTTTTGGTTTTAATCTCTATTGGGTTTGGAGTTTTTAATGATTACAAAAGTCATATATTCTCATTTCCACGAGTGGACTTACTATGTCAAAGACAGGTGCATTTTAAATTCGATAGAAAAAGCTACACCAATGTGTAAATAGTTATGAGGATATTATCCATCGTTTACATTTTTGTCAATCCCATGGGTCGAAAAATGGTACATCCTTGTTTTCCTTTGTATTTCCTGATTTACTAGCGAGGCTCAGCATATTTTTATATTTATGAGTCATTCGTATATCTTCTTCTGAATTACTTCTTGATAGCCTTTGGTTATTTTTCCTTTGGGCTGTTTATCTTATTCTTAATGATTTGTAAGAATTCTTTGTACAGAATTTATCTTTTAGCAGTTATGTGTTACAAATGCTAAATCTCAATCTTTACTTTTATACAGTCAAATCTGACAGAATTTCCCTATAAAGCTTCCAGAAGAAAATATACATACCTATTAAGATTCTTCCTTATCACAAGGTTATAAAATAGCCTCCCACGTTTTTATTATGCTTTTCTAGTTTTATAGTGTACATTTATCTTGTTAACCAACTTACTTTTTTGTACAAGATGAAGTAACGATTTAACCTCACTGTACTTTTTCTAAATAGATGGTCAAACTCCAGTTTTTCTCACCAATACATCTCATACGTGCTATTTTCTCCAGTATGGTATGTGGCGTATATCCCGAGGTCCACTTATATTCCTGGAAATTACTCAACGAGGCTTTAGTACCGTGGACTTTTAGTGTAGAAAACAGATTCCTTTCCTAGAGGATTTACAGTCTTTATTAATATAAAACGTGAAATGGAATATAAGCTTTTTTGGAATTGGGAGGCTTTGTTGTTCATAACCAGTTGCTGTAGAGTGAAATTCAACTCATGGCGACCCTGTGTGTGTCAGAGTAGAACTATGCTCCACAGGATTTTCAATGGCTCTTTTTCAGAAATAGATCGCCAGGACTTTCTTCCGAGGTGCCCCTGGGTGGACTCAAACCTCCAACCTTTGGGTTAGCAGCCGAGTGTGTTAACCATTTGCACCACCAGGGGACTCCTTATTTTTTATACACCTCTGTAAATAAGCAGATAACATCACTCGAGTGCTTAAAATCATTGACTGGGCCATTATCGGTGTCAGCACCACGGAGTTCTGGAGTGTCTGTATACTGCACCCTGGGAAGTAGCTGTTATGTATGAAAAGCCTTGACTCCAGGATTCTAGGTCCAGTTCAGTAACTCAATAGTTGCACATCCTTAAACTAACCCTCAATATTTCTGGTCTTAAGGAGCACTTTGGTTCTGTTGACGACTGCAAAAAGTGGCAACTGATTGGTCTTCTTGTGTTTTGGGAGCCTATTTTACATGTTGTCTCTTGTTCCTTGGTTTTTCAGCCTGAGAGACACTCTGGTAAGTTACATGGAAACTAAAGAGAGTGATGTGCCTCCCGAAATGGAATCTCAGTTCCCGGAAGAGATCCTGCTCTCCAGTTGCGTCCCTGTGTGGAACACGGCAGCTAGGCTGAAACAGGGCTGATACATGAGATAGGAGCAGCTCCTCAGCACTGCCTTTGGATGAGACTTGGGGCGAGAAGGCCCTTCTCTTCTCCCTCAGCCATGGAATGGATTCCATCACAGACTGTCGGTTGCCTTTGTGAGTCCTTAGAAGGAAAGTTCTCGCCATCGCATAAATTCAAGACCAAGATGTGCTGTGTGAGCTTACAGCTTTTTGAGAGCCAACCTGTTTCAGGATCACGTGTATGTTCCAAAACTTTCTCATCATGTTATGAATACTATTCATTGGGAGGTAAGGATTGAAGATTACGTGGTTTTGGAAACAAAGCACCATCCTTTACATTCCAAGAGAAACCAAAAAAAGTAGCTTCTCATCTTAACACAGCGTAATGGCCCTGCTGGCCTCTGAACTGGCACATACCCAGCCACCAGGTTCCTCCTTCCTCAGACTACTACATAGTCAGAGCGAGGGGAAAAAAACAGGGTGATTAATTTTTGGCTTTTATTTTTTTCTAGTTTCCTCTGCACTCACAGAAGAGAATCTGGCTTTCTTCTCTCCCCTAGATTCTGAGTGTTGTACAGATATTTCTGGGTTTGAACAAGATGTGGCAAAGTCCCAGACTCTTTCTTTGTCTTCTCCACATAGAAGAAATGTCAGGGTGTTTTGTGAGTGCCTTAAGCCAAACTACCAAAATCTGACCCAGACCCCACAAGGAGTCGCTGCCAGATTTCAAAGGGTAAGAGCCAAGATGCTTTTATTGTGAAGAGCACCGGACAAGGAGTCAGGGACACTCTGGGCCTCAGTCTCCTCATCTATAAAATGAGGGACTGGACTCATGGCCAAAGTTCCTTCCAATTCTAATATTTTGAAATTGTAAATGAAAGTTTATTAATGTAACTTGGGTGAAACGTGTGGTTCCGGCATGTCTGTGGGCAATTTCTGATTGTCTAGCATTACGCCAAATAAACACACAGACTTCATGTGGTCTAATATTTCCCTGAGTACAGGAATATCTAGTCCTTTCTTTCAGTCTCAGTGAAGGCACAACAACTGAGACTCAGAGAGGGTACAAAACCAGTTTAGTTTCTGAAAATGGGGAAAGGGAGTAGTTCAGCTAGCCCGGATTTCTGCTGCTTTCCTCAAGTTCAGGGTCTGTCTGTGTTTCCAGATCTACTCTGTTACTTAAGAACTCTCTGGACTAACTCCTTCCGAGATAGCTCAGCACCCAACTGCACTCATACTAAGACAGCAGCTGTTTACAAGTTAGTGGCCTTAATATATATTCTGAATGAGCTAATGACTTAATCAACTTGAAACTGGGCTCCTAGGGTGAGAGCTACAAAAACACAAAATGCTTACAGAGAATGCGACCAAGGGTATCTTAAGCCCCACTGGAGGAAGCTGCATTGCTGTATTGCTCTCTGTATTATTTTGATATTCTCTTCACGGTACTTGATGAAGGGTATACAGTGGTCGAGACCCAAGGTTGTAACTCATTTGATAGTGTCCACTTGCATGTAATAATCTATGGTAGTTTATCATTCGAGAATATGCAAAGGCCATCCTCCCACAGACATCTGC